CTATTGGTTTTTGTCCTAAATCTTGCTTATGATTTGCGATTATCAATCTTTTACAGCAGCAACATCAGTAGTACAGAATTTGTCACCATTTACTGTTTTGATATTGTGAAAGCAGTTTAAAAACCCACATAAATTATTGGACTTGCTGTTTCGACAAATCTTCTGACAAGCTAAATTACAGCCATAAAAAACAGTCGGACTTATATAACATTGCTGGTACTCGCACAGCTCTAGACTTCAGTATCATTGCTGAGTCTCTAAGCACGTATTTCAGTAATTGAATCCGGTTATCTATAGCTGATGAAGCACCAGCATCAACGAGTTGTTTAATTATATGCTGATAAAGCAGCAGTTGTCGATTTAAATTTCTGTTTCCTTCGAATTGTTTTTTCAAATCATAGCTATGTTCATTTTCAGTACACCGTCACATTTCTTAGGTTTTGCAAAGTTTACAAACCGTTTAAGCGACGGGCAAAAAGTTAGTTGTTCTATATACGTCTATCGTTTTTTTTTTAATAACAAAAAAAAAAAAAACACTGCTGCAGATTTTGTGTGATTCTCCTTCTTCTTTAATTTCATATAAAAAAGCAAAAGAAAAGAAAATTAAGAAAAGCAATTATATGGCTAGAGAATATTTTTCACATCGCTGATACCGCTATTTCATGATTTTTGTTTGAAGCAAAGCAGAAGATGACATAAAGACAGCTGTCAACTAATGATTGTCTTGTTTCATTCTGTATGTGGTAATAGGGGGTAGCAAAAATTATACAAAAGGGAGTGTAGCAAAGTTCATGCAAAATTCATTGGATTTCGAGAAGAAAAATTAATAAAAGGAAGAATAAAAAGAAAAAAGGAAAACTTGTTCGCATATGTCAAATGTCTGTGCCAGAAAAAATGTTGGTAGCGCAAAAGAAAGGAGAAATTCTTAAAGCCTAAAATATTCAGAGATACAAAAACAAAAAAATTTTTTAAAAACTTACAGTCATCTAGGCTTTTGACTACTCATTAGCGAAACAATTAGCACGTTCTCTCTGGCAAGTAACAATTCTTCAAATCTATCCTAAATTTTTAAATCCTGAATTTCTACATTTTGTCAAAAAAGCAAATAAGTTGTTTGAATCATATCACTCTTTCAGTCTTTCTCTCTCTTCGTTCTTTTTTTTAAAAAAAAAAAAAAGATCATTTTTATATCTCAGTAGTGCCGTTTCGGCTAAAAAAAAAAACGGAAAACGTTATATTACTGTTTTACAATTATATATTTGTCGTTTGTTGATGTCCTCAAAACTGTTCCAAACTTTATTCTGTTTATGCCCTATTTTATCAAATTTATTCGGCTATTTTCCATTTTAAAAGAGCAAAGTGTCACTTTTGAAGAAGAAATGAGAATATGACAAAAAAAATGGCCAAAGACGGTGTAATTTTTTTATTTGTTTTTGGTTCTTAAAAATAACTTTTATAGGAATTTTTTGTTGCCGGATTTCAACAAACATCTTTTCATTTTTTTGTTTTATCTGTTGCCGTTTTTTTGGCTTTTTCGTTTCCGCCCTCTATGCTTAACAACTAACAGCTTGGAGAGGTTTCAATTTTGGTCGCTAATAAAAAAATGCTCAGCCAACTGGATAAATGTGGCAACATCAGTAGCTGTCAGCAATTGCACTGCAACTTGGCTGCTGTCTTGGAAATGTTGAGAAGTTAGGAGGATCGAAAAAAGAAAAGAAGAAAACAGATGAGTCAGTCAAAAGGATTAAATAATAGCAAAGCAAACCACTTTTAAATGGTACTATGAAAACGATGTAAC